TTTAAAAGAGGTCAAGGGAATAAGATTTTAGCTGCCTCAATGATACCCATTTCACCATATGTAACGTGTTACTGTAATACGTTATTGTCTTACGAAATTAAATTCACAATAAAAAAAAGTGACTAAAACAAAATATATTACTATAGTATTAATAGTTGCACATGGTACTATTAACGTAATTACACGTTGCACGAGACAACGAAGTACAACAGAGCGTGTTATTCAATGATTTACATTTTAGAGATGGGTAATCATACACGGCTATTACAAGCAGGAGGATTCGACACCGAGATATGTACAGTGTGAGCAACAATGATTGAAGCGTGCGTCATCACCGCTTGTTCCTATTAATATCAAAACTACCTTCTTTGTATGGAGTTGTATACGAAAATGACGTTCTGCGCTGTCACAGTGACGTGCGTCTATTCGTATTTCGTATCTTGTATCAAATCAGCATATGCTATGAGCGGCACATTGCCAATTTAGCTGAAGCGGCACGCTTCAATCTTTGTTGCTCACTCTGTATAAACGATAAGCGAAAGTTGCATCGTCTGGAACAGATTATTCTTGCCTATAAGCCACAACATGTACATCTTACACAAGATATCATACAAGGAATCACATTCCAAATCCACCCTTTTGACTGAGAAAGAAGGGAAATAACAGTAGACTCCCCACGTTTAGAAAGACATACTTTCCTTCTCCTTCAATTTTGTCCGATAACCAAATCCTCTTCGTAAATGCTGAAAACGTTTACTGGTAAACCAATAAAAAGAAGTCTTAGCAATTGTATTAGAAACGCTCTCGGAAGGCTTCTAGAGAATCTTCTTAAGACACCCTGATCGAGATCTTAAAAACAATATTGAGGACTTTCTTGCTGTCACCAGAAACTCTTGAAGACTTCCTCTAAAATGTTACCGGCATTCCTGTCTAGGAATCTCGCAGGTTTTCTTAGAACTTCCAGTCGAGAACCTTAGAAACTCTCATGGTTATTTTCGAAACTTGCTAGAACTCTTTGAAGAAGAAGAAGTTTTAGAAATGCACTTATAGATCGCTTTAAAATCTTCTTAGAAATATTCTTCACAAAAAAACCTGCTTGAAAATGTTTTTCCGAACGTAGAAAGGATTCCCTATTAATTATATGGTCAAATTTTGCTTAAAACTGCTGAACACAAAGTAAGCGGATACCCTCTTTAATATTAGAAAGCTGTTTAGTAAAAGGTTATATATGTAATAATCTATCGATCTTAAAACGCAAGCCCCTGCTAAATATATGGAAAGTATTATGTTAATATAAACATCGACTGAGCAATACATGGTGTTAATTTTAATTTTAAACCATAATATACCCGTGACTCGATGGACATTAACGCCAGATTTCTTGGTCAATTTTAAGTCGAAATTTTTTCCAAAACTCAATAGTTAAGAAGTTATGGACAATATTAAATTTAGCAGAGTGTGTAGAATAAAGTAAAAAGTATGTTGAATAAAGTATAACGTAATATTTTGTTCAATTAAGAATTCTTTCATTTTTGACACAAATTTAATTAAAGTTTTGGTTCAAAATGTGCCCCTATTGCCTCATAACACATTCTTGTTCTTTTAATAATTGAAGAAGTAGCTCTCTGAAGTGTATCTGGGTCGTCTTGTATGGATGAAGCTGCAGTCCAAACATATTGAATGAGATGATCTCTGGTCGTGCTAATTATAACTAAAAATCTAAATAGTTAAGTCCCATTTTTGAGTACGATGATGTTTTGAAACAATACCCAAAAAAACGAAACTGTTCGCGCGTCGCCTTATGACGCAGCATGGGTTGAATAAGGTTTAAAATTGGCATCGATAGCTCATTTACATGAGTTATCAGTTATACTAGGGATGGAGATGCTACTTGCTATAATATTACGTCAGTGAGTTTCCTTAGAAACAAATCTCTTTAGAATCCAAATATATGTCTTTGAGAACTATGCAGTGTTCAGGTTCAGTAAGGCAATGTGTTTTGCGATTTTCGTAATAAACGTTTTCATCGAACATTTCTTTAAATTTGAGACCCGGAGCTGGATGGAGTATGCAAAATCCGAGAACCGCATTCTGCCAATTGAACCAAGTTCGGAAAAGCTTGCAGATTAATAATTCGGATGTTGCCGGAACTCCCCTCCAATTTTGTTTTAGGTAGGTATTACCCTCCTCCGCCTCCGAATAAGTTGATTGAGCGGATATTGTTATGTATCTATTTTGATGATTATTTTAGTGACATTTTTCAAATAATTTAACAATTAAACGTAATTAAAGGTTGGCAAATTAATTTAAAACCAAAATTATGAATACAAAATTCATAAATTGTCAATAAAAAAATTATGTAGTGAACAAAATAAAAGGTACATATCTCAGAGAAAATTATTTAATGATCAAAAGCAAATATAAAATACGTACTTAAAAGAAATGCAAATAAACAACGATGCATATTTTTACAATCTTTATTTATACACTTCTGTGTCAAAAAGGTACTTGCAGTAATCCAGTATTTCATAAAGCCTGTTGAGGGCCCAAAACAAGAGAGGGATAATAAATAAATAAATGAATAATAAATAAAGATGTTAAAAATTTTGTGTCAAATTACGAGCATATAGGTATATTATTTTTCGAAAATGAATAATACATTTTGAATCTTTTAATTGGGAGTCCGTTTCTTTTCGTTAGCAGCATATTTTCAAAGTTAGGAGAAAGTCCGAGTTAAACAAGCCAATTCATTTTTAAAAAAAACACTTTCATATACAACATTTTTTGCATAGTGATCCTTCATAACTCATAATTTAATAATATCATTGACCCATTAGCTATACCTCTCAAAAATTGATGCTATCGTTCATAGATGGAACTAAACGCCATGGAAGCGCATACTAAAAATCGTTAAAGTTACATTTTCCATATGGTTTTGTGGCAAAAAAAGTTCCTGTAACTATACAAAAAAAGTATTTCTATGTATACGATCGGATAACTTTTTCATGTTTTGCACAAATTTTTCATTTTCCAATGTTAATAAAGCGTCTCCACTATCCACAATATTAAGTAAACATTACGAAGAACATTTACGAATTACGAATTTTTTATTAATAATTTATGTTTTAATTTCACGTAGCAACCGTTAATTATTAAAAACAAAACAATCATTGTCACTAAGATACTCATCAAAATAGATTCATAGCATGGCGCTCAATGAAATTACTCGCGCCGGAGGAAAAGAGGGAATAAAACAAAATTGGACCAATAGGCGTTCCGGCAACATTCGAATTATTAATCTTCAAGCTTTCTGAACTTGAATCAATTGGAAGAATGCGGTCCTTTGATTTTGCATACTCAAGTCCAACCAGCGCCTGCACTACGTTTAGTTCCCAAAATATTACAGATTGAAGAAGAATAAGTTGTTTATACCGTGGAAAAGATATTGCAATTCGGGACAATCTAAAACATAAAAAATGGAAAGAACATTATCAAATGAAGGGTGACATCATTAGATGCTGTTGAGTTGCCAGCACCATGAGGTAATCTACTAGTATTCGATTTTTTCGTGTTTCTATTTGTCTTCAAGATAGATTTAATGACATTTTTAAACATGGAAACGATTAAACTCTAAAAAAAATTATCGTTCCATATTCCAGGAAAGAACTAACGATATTAACCTATTAAAAATTTATAGGTTGCCACCCTACCAATACGGAATAGTGAAGGAATTATATCGTATAAAAGACGCCACGTCAAATGTTAAATACTCAAAAATAAAAGCAAAATTTAAAAAAATAAAAAATAAATTGACAAGTGCGACAATTCACCGTTTTTAATACACCACTATGTATCTTAACGTGTAGTTTATGGTTAAAAAAATATAATACGACGCTTACTCAAGATTATTTCTTTAAAATGTCTACTAGCCACTTCCTCTATTAACCATCGAATCGAAAGTGACGGGAGCGGTTTGACGTTGACATTTCTGATCCTGTATATGGCAGCAAAAACTTATTTTGGACAAGGGTACTATGAAGTTGGTCCGTTCCCAGTTTTTTTTTATTATAAATTAGATTTCGCGAGCCAATCGGAGAATAGAGTAGGTAAAACAATCAATAACTAGACAAATCAAATAAAATCGTTTATCGAAAATTGAATGAAGGTTATTTTGGCAACGCCATGTGAGCCTTGCCAATTTTTTAATACCTATCGCATTGCTGGTGTAGGGTTTTTGGTGGATATCAATAAATTTTAAAATTTGCGCGTCAGCAAAAAGTTGTTAAAACCAGGCAACGTTTAACTAGTAAAGGAAGTTCACGAAATTTGCGTTAAATTCTATTTAAAACCGCTTTTTAATTTCGACATTAAAAAGCGGAGGTGCGAAATGAACAGAAGGCACCTGGCATTTGTTAAAGTCCTTAATTAAAGTACGAACGGAAAACAAAGAATGCAAAATTAGCTTCATTTCTAATTATACGGCGCAAATATCTTAATTTCGAACTGTGAAAAACTTTATCGAACACATCTATCAAGCGAAAAGCTCTCGCTTAAATTATACTAAGAAGGAAGTCGGAAAAGTGCTGCCTCCCGCGTCTGCCGCAATCATACACCGCATCTAAACACGGAGTGTCTTACTTTATACTGGAGACATCTGGGCCCGAACTCTTTCAATTAAGATGAAAAATCCGAGCGCATTAAGCGCGATGCCGGGGCCGCGGGGACAACCCGCAGGTCTTGATTAGAAAGGACAGCGCCCCGATAAAACACCCTCCCATCTATCTCATTCTAAAACTCAATCTGTACGATTTTTAATATTTACTTATACAGAGCTTTGCGAGGATGTGTAATCTTTTATCCTCCCCCGCTTCTATTCGTTCACGACACGTCCATAGTAACAATCGCACTTTTGCTACCTTCCAGACCAGATAGCACGATGCGGCCAGAGATTAAGAAAATCGCCACAAACGTTTGTTAAATGACATTTAAAAGATACTTACAAGTTCGACGTCTTCAGGTTCCACGCTTCCGTTGGGTGTAGTGGCCGCCGAAGGCCGTTGCGAGGTTGAAAGGTTGATAGCAACATCTCCGTCTACGTCGTGATCCATGATGCCATCATCCTGCAAAAAACCAATAGCGATGAGATTTATAGAACGCCAATTATTCTCCCTTTTGAAACAGGCAAACTCTGCTAAATCTGAAACAGCTTTATGGGTGCCTAAAAACACGCACAAGCTGTGGAATCCCAACAGGCAAGAACACCTAGCTCGATTTTATCGGTCTCCGGACACTCGTCCATTTAGGATAAACTCCCTCGAAGGCATTTACAATCCTTAGCCCGATGTCTTCTTTTTACGACCGGGACCTCTTGGATATTATAGCGACTGTCAGATAATATTCTCGCGCATTTTATTATAATAAAAGAAATATTTAACAAACAAATACGTTACGCCTATCGGTTACCAGCTACCTCATTTTCATCCGAAACATCCCTAGAAAACTTAATCAGTATACAAATCCTGTATATAAAACATTTAAAGGAAGCAGATAAGGTGCAGACACAGTCGCATCCCCTGTGGTCATTTATTCCGTTTAGAGGATAATCTGGATAATACGTTCGAGTTATCTTCCACACACCGTTACTCCATACGATGTTCAACCACCCTGCGTGTTACTCTTTTCCATAATAGTATTCTAATGGCTAGCTACATTTTTCATAACATGCAAAATCGTAAAAGTTTGCGTGGGGTGCTATTTCTTGTCGGTACATGACCACATAAAATAAGAGACCGTTATAATCCATCACGCCTAGAATTGCCGTTTCGTTCTAAGTACGAATCAGTCTATTTGTTAGCTTCCCTAATAACATTAGAAAGCTGCGCGTATTGATCAGGTATGAAGGGTAAAAGGAGCATACAGCCCGAGGTGAACAGCGTACGACTGCTTGTTCGTTTTCTCCTGAATTATATATTAAACACATACATATTTATTTGTAACTAGACGACTTCTGCTAATCATGACCCCCCTTAATTGAATACGGAGCGACAAAGAGGGATGGACAAGAAAAAGACAAGCAGTGTACAAATGCACTTCTTCACATCCGAAACTGTAGAACGCTCGCTTACTGTTTGCAGTATTAATCGATGCCCGATGTCTCAAATAAGGGAGGGTTGCTGTTTACAAATAATATTTCCGGTAAAGGACTATGCAAGTTTGTTTCGAGCGTTTTGATCGTCAGCGAAATTAAATAGATAACGTACTTCGGAAATACCACTTTTGCTGGGGAAACAAGTTTTAATTTTATTAAAGGGTTACATGACCTACATTTTATCAACGGCATTCGTAATTCGACTTAATGCTTACTATTGATTTGACAAGTTTTTCGTGGGCATCAAATTTGTGAGAAAATTTAATATATTACTTTTCGCCTCAACCGTGAGCATTTTAATATTTGTGTACATTATTTTATATAAGTGAGCCATCTTTGTTATTAAATGAATTTCTTCCGCAACAACGGTCTTTTTCTTTATCGTCCAAGCGATATATTGATGAAAAAGGTCGATATATTGATATCCACCTTTATACCGATACCTTCCGAAGTCAATACGTAGCCTAAGCTCTAATGGATCAAAGGCGACGGGTACCAGTCGAGAACCACCTGCACTCCACGGGCGTTTGAGGTATAAATTTTGGGTATAAGTGCAAGTTGCGATTACTGGAATAATCAGAAAAAAGGAGGAAAGTTCTTATGCATAGCCGAGTCATAGAGATTGGTCATTTCTAGAACAAATTTTTCATGTTGCCATACCGAAACGCTGAAGTGATATTATATTTACAGCGCCTCGAAGTGTATGTATTCGCCACCCATTTTCAAAAATTCGCGAAAAAGAATTGCATGAAAAGATTTCATACGCTCACGTCACATCGATACCTTTTCGGTATGCAAATCCTGCTTTCGTATGGGATTTTTTTAATGAGTGTTTCATACAGTGTGTACCTACAGTTAAATTGTAAGTAGAAACGGACTAAGGTACCTCTAAAAAGCATTAAAGGGGCACTCCTTAATTGGGCGCAAGCCTGATGTTGAGGGCCCAGAATAAGAGAGGGATAATAAATAAAAAAATAAATAAAATATAAAGATAACATAATATTTTATTGCCTCACATCTAAAGGTGCAAGAAAAGGCAAAAGTAAGTTTTCATCTCACCAGCATTAAATGCATTGATTCTCAAAAAAATGTAATTATAGTGCTACTTACCTAATGGGTTATTCGTATCTATGATCCTTCCGTTTGCAATTTTTCCGAATAATTAGCCAGTAGAGTAAAGTGATGCGGTAATTGCATAGATTTACGTTCATTGGTAATCTGATTCTCAGGATGAGCCTTTATCTTTATACAGGGTGACTTTTTTTAATTTCAAGCATTGGGATCTCGGAAACCAAAAGACAGAGATTTGTTTAAATGAGGAAATAGTTGTCGTTTGAAGAGCTTATTCAAGATATGTTTTTGTTTTTTGAAAAAAATCCACAGTTTGCTATATCTGAGCGAAACACAGAGTTAGCGATTTGTTTTCGTGCATTTTCATTATCAACAAATAAAATGCACTTTTGCACTCTTGATGTCTGTCTGAGTCACAAAGGCTCCGGAACTACACTACGTACTTGGTATTGGTGTCATTCGGTCAGAAATGAAAAATGATTTCCTGTTTGTATTCTCGTTAAATGTCCATAAGGGCTATTATCGAAAAAACAAATTTGATAGTGCACTCTTCGCCTCTGGCTCACCAAGCGGCTTAACGAATTTTTATTTATGTTTATTTTATTTATTTTTACCTTTACTTTTCGTTGGGCGAGGTTTCAGCCAAGGCTGCTCTACCGACCACGGTTACACTATTACCTATCTCGTTAGATATTGTTTTTCATGGCAAACTCTGTTTATTTACCTCTCAATAATACAAAAATGTAAAAGTCAGCTACGAGTACCAAAAAAAATTAAAGTCTGTATTATCACTCAAAGTCGAGAAAGAAATTTAGTATGTTCATCACGTTAAGCATGAAAATGTATAAAATTTTATTCGTGTAATTTTTTTTAAATTCCTAATAATAATTCAACATTTAAAAGAAAAATCACTAAATCCGTTTTTCGCTCATATTTAGTAAACTGTGGAATTTTTTCAAAAAACAAAAGCATTTCTTGAATAAACTTTTCTTTAACCGAATCTCTATGTCTTTTGGTTTCAGTGATCCCAATGCTTAAAATGAAAAGAAAAAACTCACCCTATATATAAAATTCTTCTGTACGTCTATTGTGACTGAACTCCTAAAGTCCTAAACGACTGGATGGATTTTTATGTGTCTCTGTGTGTCCCCAGCTGGTTTAGATTCACAATCGGATTTTTTTTAAAGATTTTTTCTTTGCTATCACGCTTATTTCGCCTACCGATCGATACAAGCGCAAAGTCACCGTGCCGATGTGTTTACATTTTTACATTCAGTCTGCGGGGTTTCCGTTATAATATATCCATCAATATAGAGCATACGAAGTCGCGGGGGAACGTCTAGCCATTGAATTTATAACTATAAATTCAATGGTCTAGCTACTCTAAAGTGATATTCCCAGAGAAATACAGTTTCCCTGTTATTTGTGTGTGGGTCAACTTTAGAAATAGACGCAAATTTTGAAGAAACTGCTTTAGTCTTTTCCGAACAGTAGAAATTAAATAAATATCTTTATAAATGCATAATTCAATTTGAATTTCAATAAAATTTTAATAGATTTAAAATGGAAAAGACTATTTTGTCCACAGTTCTCACAAAATCAAAGCCCAGTTTAATTTTGATCGGTATTACTCCCCCCAATTGATAAATTTGAACCGAAAGAAGATGTGTCTGATTTCTTTCATTAGGCAAAGATAACGCATCAAAGTGTGTAATTCCTACAATTTCTCATGAATAACAGAAAGACGAGTTGAACCGCTTGCCAGTTCTGAATGAAGTTACATTGATGAAAAGGGTAAGACAGTGAATGGAATATTTAGGTAGATGTCCTGAGGACACGGTCCAGTTTAATAATACGAGTTGACGTACGTTTTTTAATTTAGAAGAGACTTATCCCTTTAGATCACTTTTATTCATAAGTTGCTACAGTGAAATTGATAGCCCTACTCACACTGATATTATAATGAACCATCAGTTTCGATTTTTTAAATAATGTATGACAATTTCTCTTCTCTCTTACAAAACTTAATTGCGAGGTAATTTCTTCATTCTAGAGGGAGATTTTGCCAATGATTTGACTGAAATTCAAAACATCCAGAAGGATTTACGAATGCATAAACGAAACGTGCCGAAAAAAGCAGCCCTCGCTTTTGTGATGACACTGTTTTTCATTTGAGTGAATCAATTCAATTTTTAACTAAAGAATATTGTGAGGTTATCGTTTAGGATCATTTATAAAATATTAACACAATGTCGCAATTCATAAGAGGGCAGCGAGCCCCTTATTTGCTTTTTTAACGTTATCATTCTTAAAGTTCTTAAAGATTAAAACGGGTATTGCGTTCTCGGCGTGATAAAAATTAAAACGATCAATAAGGGTTGAATACCTTTCCGTCATTCCCACGTATAGGATATAAATGCGAATTCTCGCGTATGCATTTTTTAAATATAACTCTTAAGAGAAAACAAAACTATGCAGGTGAACAAAACTTGCTGTGTTTTTGCTTAGGAAAATCAGGAGGATCTCCAAGACGAGCGACGATTAAAATAAGAAAAGAATTTCATCCGAATTTAATGTCTTTTAGCAAGCTAACTAGATACTTCTAAAAGATAATCAAAAAACATACGATACATAAGGGGACTTGGGGGTGCTAAGCATCTCTTAGCTAGCCCGTCTGTTCAAAAGTAAACAAAAGGATCCATACAAAAGGATTACTCCACGTTAATAAAAAAAATTTCGTTTCACTTTATATCTAAGTAATTGCCGGAAAGCAGTTTTATTTTAACCCATCTCCATAACTCATCTAACAAAAACTGTTCAATATAGACATTTACGTTTCCAAATAGACACATCAGATGTCAAAATTGTTTAATGGCGGATTACCCAAATGCAAGACCCTAG